TAGACGAAACGACCGAAGATGATTCACGTTTGAATTCAGAGTCTACTGTCATGTCATAAGTTCATGCAATTGGTATAAAATTTTTTTCTTTCGGGTATTAGTAGGTTCGCTAGATTACCAGAAAATGGTATATATGAGGTGTTCTTGTAGTCTCGAAAATAAAAGATTTCCTACAATTGCATAAACTTCTGAAATGTCAATATATCCTGGATGATAATGTGAGTCACTTTCGGTTCTTTAAGCCAAGTTAGGTCAGGCCTCTCTGCTATATCATATTCTTTAGTGGGAGTGCCGATGAAGCAAACGTTTGTTTGCTATAACTATCGATTACAATACTTTTATTTTTCGAATTAAGTATTATTGTCGTGACTACAAGTAAATCAGTAATATGAGATGTATTCACTCAATTTGGTTTAAGTTGATGGAAACATCAGCTCTACTCATATCATTGTGGGGAAATTCTTCTTCTACCAGTCTTTCATCAGCTTAAACGAAATTGGATGAATACATCTCATACTACTGATTTACTGGTAGTCACGAAAACAATAATTAATTCAACTTGTACTTGAATTTGCCACAATGAATGCAGCCAATAACATTCACCCTTTCGTCTACTTCACTTCGCGGCCGAAATTGAGTTTTGACCTCTGACCTCGTTCTCACTAGCACCCTCCACGGGAGTAGAAACCGTGTCGTGTGAACCACCAACCTTACCAGCAGCATCTAAGCGAGCAAATGTGATGAGTCGATAAGGCGAGGTCAAAGATACTGTTCAGGCAGTAGGAAAAACCCTTTGAAAGACAAGGTATGATGGCATTGAGGGGCCCTACATTTGGCTTAATGTGGGAAATATCACAGCCACCTTAAGCGAGCTGAATCGGTTCGGGCAATTACATGAATAGACATTCAGTCTTCTGAAGGGGTAGTTTTACTCCTTCCTGTTGTTTCCTTAAGTCTCATTTCCATGCCAGTCAGTCATTTTAGAGGCCTCAGATATCTGGACGCAATTTAGCAAGTGGTTGCGGCTTCTAGTGAGTCCTTCTCCAGAATCTCAACTTGACTCATCTTGACTCGAGCATACCACATCGGCTCCACAACAATGTCTGATAAAGCATTATCCTTCCTTACACAGCATTCACGAAGATTTAACACCCAGGCTCATTTGTACAAAAAACACCTCAACTCGGAATTCATTTATGCTGGCCCGGACCCATCAAGCCATTTTTGACGAGGACGTCAGTGGTCACCGCAGATAATATCCACATTAATTCATTCTTTGTACGCTATTAATGCTTTTCATTGTGGTTCCAGGGCTCGAGAACTTTTAGTGACTTTAGGAGTTTTTAGACTTTAGAAACATTAAGCTCTTATCCGCCCTTAAGTCTGGTCCACTCAATTAGCGAAGAAAAGTTGGGTTTCGAGGAATCTCTTCTTTCATAATTGTTGAGCTTACTTCCATTTCGAGTTAA